TTTAAAAAAGATTCTTATATGGATTTAAATACAATAATGTATTATTCTTAAAAATTATATTACCTTTCATTACTTTTCTGAGAATATGATTCCTACTAATTTCTGCATACCAAACGCCCCCTATGTTAGGTACTGGATTACTTCATTGAATAATGTGTGGTTTGGTATTGCATTAAGATTTAAGAAAAAAAAAAGGAAGTAAATTCTAAATAATATATTATCTTGGTTCGGCGCTCCTGATCGTAAGAGGTTTCGCATTTGATGGTGTAGCTATTGAAGAAGATGTTGTTGGAGGTATATATATAATAGAGGCTCATCATCATTGAAAGTTGAATGCAAAGAAGCAAAACCAACAATAAAGGAAAAAAAGATTATAAGCGGCAAGTGCGCTAAAATATAAAAGAATGCCAAACGAAGAACACAGGAATAAAAAGATAAAACAAAAACTTTACAGTGAGATCTATACAGGGTAAAATAGTTAAATGTGGAAGGACACGAAGCAAATCTCTGAAACTAAATAACAGAAAGGAAAAAAAAAACGATTACTGTTAAAAGAACAACCACTTTGTAAAGAAAAATAGAAAAATATAAATCTCCAATAATTTGGACAACATCAAAACAACTAAATCATTAGTAACAATTACTTGATAGCTGGCAACAATAAAAGGATAAAAAATCATCATCACCAAAAACAAACAGATTCTTTAAGAAAAAATGAACTGTTCATAAAGCAGATGAAGAAGTATAAAAGCATAAATCCTAAATAATTCGGACAACATCAAAACCTGCAAAATGACTATTACCAATTACTTAATACACGGCAATCATTGAGAAAAAACACTCTTAACAGAAGAAGAAAACAAAAAAGAAAATAACAAATTAAAGAAGAACACGAACATAGGAACGTAATACAGCAAGGAAACATAAAAGCCGTTTAACATATTAACATAACAAAGTTTACTAATATAATAATTAACATATATAAAACAGTTTAAAAAAGAATGTAAAAACAAAGAAATAAGTACCTCAGCCGAAGAAGAGAAGTAAACAGAGTAGATGCAGGACAGCGGCAAAAAAGTCAAAACAGAGACAATGAAAGAGAAGAACGCATTATTCAAAACTGAGAGAACGAAAAAAAAAAGCTAGAGAAGATGGATTGTAATAATCTGAAAACGAAAACAGAGATAAAATGATAAACAATAATCATAAAATAAACTACAAAAAATATATATAGAAAGAAGGCAATGTACTTCTCATTCCCCGATAACAATCCTGCAAACACAGATAAATGAAGGTCATAATAAGTAACAACAGGTATTACGCGGCATGAAACCCATCGTAAAACAGAGCCAATAACCAACGGACAGTAAAACATCAGTTCGTTACACAAAAATTCTGCCGTCAAAAAACAAATATCCACTAATTGACCGATAACAATTCTTACAATCAAAGATGAAGCGATGTAATCAGTAGTTAAAAACAGGTGTTACCCAACATGAAAACCACTGACTACATAAACCAATAATCAGCAGACAGCAAAAAAATACATATCCATTATTGAAAATTACAGAATAGAGACAACACATGGCAATAGAAGAAAAGAACACGACGATATAACAATGCAGCAGGAAGAACGAAAAATGGAAAAAGGAATAAGAAAAAATGGAGACAGAAAAGGAAAGGGAAGGAAAAAATTTTAGTGAAAACGAAAAAGACAATGAAACCGTAAAGAAGGGGGGGAGTGAAAATCAGAAAACATGCAAACAGGGAGAAAAAAAAGGGAAGAAAAAAAATTTGAAATAAAATAAACCATTGAAGCTTCACCGAAACAAATTCTAGAAGAAGAAAAGCTAATAAAGCAGAATAACCCATAAACAAAAGGAAATCGAAACAGGAAATGAAGCCCAGAAATTTCACCGAGCAAAGGGTAAGAAACCCAAACGAAAAGAGAAACAAAAAAGGCAAAGAAGAAGAAGGTGTAAAGCCGATTAACCCATAAACAAAAGGAAAAAGGGGGAAATCAAAGAGGTTGCAGACATAGAGAAGAAAAGGGGAAAAAGCATAAGCATAACAAATGAAGCGTAGAACATTCACGGGAAGAAAACCTTAAAGGCCGATTAAGGAGAAAATGAAAAAATTTATACAAAGCAGCCATTAAAAAAAATTGAAAGAAAAACATGCATTCCAACAAAAGGACATAAAAACCCTAACCAAAACCGTTAATCAAACCGACGGAGAAGCAACAAAAAACAAAATCAGAGAGCTCCCCACTAAGAGCACAAAAAAAAAATCAACATAAATCACAAATGAAAGCAGTGGAAAAGCCCAGAAGAAGCCGATAAAAACCCCAAATTTCCAGCCAAATCAGACAAAAGGGGCAAATTAAGAAAAAAGCAATGAAACTCCCAAATCTTTGCGCCCAAATGACACAAAACGAACAAAAACACTTAAACCACAAAGGAAGAAAAGCATCATTACGACCAAATCCAACCGAGAGACAAGGATCATACCGGGAGGGGAAAAAAAAGGACCAAAGAAGCCAAGAAGAAAGAAATCGAGAGAGATCGAGAAAGAAAAAGGCATAAGCCCGTGGAATGACCAAAAATCCCAGGCCTCATGATCAAAGGAGGGCTGACGGCGACAGTGGTGGTGGTGCAGAGGTAAGGATCGGGGACGACGGAGTAGAAAAAATCGCTCGAGAGAAAGAAAGAGAAGAAAAAAAAGAGAAGAGAGAAAAAGCTAGAAGCTTCTACGATGAAGCTTCCATTTCTTTAAGCTTCTGCGAAGAGAAGCGAGAAAAACCTAGAAGAAGAAGAGGAGAAGAGGAGCGAGGTCGTCCTTATCTGAGAAAAAAACCAAGAAGCTTCTACAAAGAAGCAAACGGAAAAGGACAAAAACTGACACTCAAAAGACCAAAATGCCCCTACACAGACAAAGGAGGAACAGTAAATCGAGGGTAAAATCGTCATTTACGTAAAAAGAGAGTGATTTGAATCTGCGTGAACAGTAAACCGCAACTCTCCTTTAGATTATTTTATAATGTTTGGTATTATGAGTAGGTTGTGAAGTAGTAGTTAATTCTTTCTCTATTTAAATTAAAAATAAAATCCTTGCTCTGAATTAGGTAATCCTAAAAATTGAACAAACAAGTGCTTTCTATCACATTTAAAGTGAGGGTTAAATTCATCATTGCATCTAAAAAATAACACACGTGAGCATCATGTGGTGAAGTATATGAGAAAATAAACGGCCGTGTGCAATTGGACCAAAATTGTAACAAAATCAATAGTTGGAGGTGTTAATTGTCGAATTGAAAGTTGAGTGACCAAAATGATACTATTTAAAAAATTCATGGACCAAACATACCAACTACTCAATATTAAAACAAAAGTTTTAATTTTACTCTTCTGATTAATTAATTAATAAAAAAATTTTATTTTTTATTTTTTAAAAGACATGCAGGATTGCCAAAATATTCCCAAGTATATTACATTAGTCGATTTTCTGTTACAAATACCAATGGAAAGAGTATTTTTGTTAATGATTCATAATTCGAAGGGAACATATGTTACTTTTCAAGATCGAATGACAAAATGTACATAAGTCATAGTTTAGGAGAATTTTTATAATTAATTCTATTAAGTCTTCGTCCAAAATGTCTTCCCAAGATTTCATTTTTTTCTTCTGAACAATGCTATAGGATACTAATAATGCACCATCCTCTGAATAGAAGGTAGATCACGTAACATGAGTTTACTTTCCATTAGTTGTGATTAGGGTTGTACAAATCAATCGAGAACGAAACAAGACTAATGGTGCAGACTAAAACTATTGAAAAAAATCACCATAATATGGTGACTGATGACTTCAATTAGTAAAATTGAACCGCTCGATGTTGTGGTTCTTTGAGAAGTTATAGAAATCACACATCGACCTTTTATTGCTTTCTCTTTTTCTTGTTCTTTTCTTCTTCTTTTTTTTTCCTCCTTTCTTCCCCAGCTCCGGCGACTCCCTCTCATCTATGTTTCACTGCAGTGCTACCTCAGTCTTCGTTTTTCTCTCTTCTTTCTTTTATTTGTCAAAACACTAGTAAGTAAAAACGAGGCCCAAGCCCAAAAAATACAAACTTTTGAACAACAAAGTTTGAAAAAGAAAAGAGATGGTTTCTCGTGATTTTATGTAGGCTTATTGTTTAACGTAAAAAATAAAAATACCACTTAAAATAATAATAAAAAATATTATTTATATCATTTTATTTAAAAATAAATAAATTATTTAATTAATAAAGAGAAAATAAAAAGTTGTACCCAATTAATATTAAACATCTATTTCTTTTTCATACCATAATTAATATTATTTAACTAAAAATTAAATAAAAGATCCCCGTTCATTTCGCTGATTTGAGTTTAGAATTTGAATTTTGCTACAGTAAAAAGCTCTCATAAACAGTCACATCTAACTTTTTTACTATAGTAAAAAACTCTCACATAACATCACATCTCAATTCGAATTAAAAACTCGAATTAGCGAACTGAACGGGTCCAATTTTATAGTTTTAGTAGTAAGATGGATATGAGGACTGATTTGAGACAATTTTGTAGTATGGTACCCATTTCAAGATGTTTTGGGCCCGTTCACTTTGCTGATTTGAGTTGAGATGTGATTTTATGTGAGAGCTTTTTTACTGTAATAAAAAATTTAGATGTGACTGTTTATGAGAACTTTTTACTATAGCAAAACTAAAATTCTAAACTCAAATCGGTGAAGTGAACGGGCCTTAAACTCAAGAATTAAAACAAAATTTACCCACTATTTAAAAAAAAAACATTAAACTAACCCAAGAAAGGTTTGAATTAGGATTAAACCTCTTTTATAGTGGATCTAAATGAAAACAGAAATGGTCTAAACGTGGTGAAATCCAAATATTAGAACTTTGGACGGGCTCGGCGTGTAATATACCATCTCTATAAAAGGCAAAAATCCTAGTTACCAAACGCGGTCGAGTAAAGTTCAGGAAAATTTGCCTTGGCGGAAAGCTGCTAGGGTTTTTTCCAATCCTCTGCCTCTGCGTGTCAGTAAGCTTCAGATCTTCTCTCTTTCTTCAATTGATATATCGTCCTCACTTAATCCGTTTGTCGCAGGCGTTTTCTTGTGTATCATGCTTGGTTCCCTAAATGGCTTTCCATCGAGATTTTCCCGAGAAAGTTTTTGGGGTTTTTTAAGTTTTCATATTGCTTTTCGTCGTTAAATTCCATGTTTTGCCTCTGTAAAAAACAATTTATCGGTGAAAAGTATGTTCTTTTCAATTCGCCGTATACATTTTTGCATTTTATGTCGATTATACTTCTTATGCTCAGCTTCAGGAATGGTGGCAAAGAAATTGTTTATTTTTTGTTTATTTTTCTGCTGTGGCAAGTTTATTAGCTGCTATTTGCATTTTTTTCCCTAAAAAATTCCTTTTCCCCAATTCTTATCGGTCTTCATTGCAAGTGTTTGGTAGCTGGGTTTGTATTTTTTTTTTTCTTTATTAACTCTTTTCTTAAACTTACAATGACAGACTTATTTGAAAGATGTCTCGTGTGTACGTGGGAAACCTTAGTCCACGGGTAACTGAACGTGATCTTGAAGATGAGTTTCGTACTTTTGGAGTGATTAGAAGGTAATGCTAGGACAACTAGTTCGAATTAGCTTTATCTCTTACTCATCAAAATGATGAAATTCCTAGTTACTTGTTAATTTGTCATTTTTAGACATTGTTTGCTATTGAAAACCTTAAAATTGTACATCTCTTGCTGGACAGCTTGACATTGGTGAAACAATTTTCGACATGTTATTATGATTTGATGATCATAGGCATTTGATATGTATAGATACATGTTGCTGTTTATGAAACTATTGAGATGCTCATTGTGATGATGGGTTTTGATGCTGTTACATGTTTAGTGTATGGGTTGCACGGAGGCCACCTGGTTATGCTTTCATTGACTTTGATGACGCTAGGGATGCAGAAGATGCAATCCGTGAATTGGATGGTACGAGTAGGATGATTTAGATGTTGACTATGCTATTTGTTGTTCTTTATGGTGTTTCTTTCTGCAAGTTTTTCTTTTGTCTTTAAAATCCGTTTGAAAGTTAAATGTTAATGTTCATCTGCAGCGTATATTTGTTAATAAAGCAACATACTTGGACTACTTTTTTGTACTAGCACCGGAGTCATTTTTTTGTGTTTTAGTGGGCGCACTCAAATGAGTATAGTCTCCAGTATGTGAAATACAGGAGCTTCACTTTGATTAACATAATATGGAACTTTAAGGCATGAGTTGGATATTTGTTCGTGATGCATTCTCTTTTAAATGTTAGCTGTTAATAACATGTACCTTAGGCACTGGACAACCATGATTTACGTAGATTTAAATGGTTCAATCAAGTATTTTGAAGGAATCTCATTACCAAAAGATTGAAAATTTTACTATGATAGGCAACCAACTTCATTTTCTACTTCTACTTTGGAACTCAATTTTGTTGGAGATATTCTTTATAATAATGATATCAAAAGGTTTTTTTTTTTTTAATTTTATTTTTAAAGCCAAGTCCCTTTTCCTGTGGTTGAGATGCTTGATCCTTTTACCATGAAACTTATTCTGGGCATGCCAGTCAAGTTTTTATTTCTTAATTTCTTCTTTTAAAAATCTTTTTAATACCCGTCATGGTAGCAGCCTATGCATTCTTGAAATTTTTGTTTCAACTCATGTAGCGGGGTTTGCTTCTAAATCATCTGTGCTATAATCTTCTACTAACCACTTTTTTTTTTACCTCCATTATTTAGTTCATTTTCTTTAAACCCATAAGTCGTTTTTTCCTCTTGTCTTAAGCTCTTTTAAGATGTTAAACAGGTAAGAATGGCTGGAGAGTGGAGCTTTCACACAACTCAAGAGGAGGTGGTGGTGGTGGTGGTGGTGGTGGTGGACGCGGAGGGGGTCGTGGCCGTTCTGGGGGTTCAGATTTGAAGTGCTATGAGTGTGGGGAGCCTGGTCATTTTGCTCGTGAATGTCGTTTGCGTGGTGGTTCAGGAAGGCGTCGTAGTCGCAGCCCCCCTAGATATCGTAGAAGTCCTAGTTATGGTCGAAGGTGATGTCATATTCTTGAATATATATATATATATTTTTTTTGTTTATACATTTCTCTTTATATAGTCAATATTATTTCATGGATGGGCAAAGATGAATTGTGAAATTATATATTTCTTTGCAACAGGAGCTACAGTCCCCGTGGGCGGTCGCCGCGACGTCGCAGTTTGTCACCTCGTGGGCGCAGCTATAGCAGGTCACCACCCTATCGTGGACGTGAGGAGGTGCCATATGCCAACGGGTGGGGTTTCTAGGACCTTTTTTTTCACTTTAATTTATTCCTCAAATTTGGGATTTACAAATTATTAATTTTTGTATCCTGCCATTAGAAGAAAATAATTATGAAAAACTTTCTTCAACTTTATGTTATGCATGGGCTTTCCCATTTAATGATAATCATGTTTTCCTGTGTGAAATTTGAACGAAAACAGTGTCTCATGATTTTTTATGTACGTTAGATGCAAAACTGGAACTCTTTTAGAAGGATATATATAAATGCAGAACATGCTAGTTTATTTGTAAATTTTTCTAGTAAGTTGTTGACCCTGCTGATTTACTTATGCATCTCCGTGCAGTAATGGTCTGAGGGAGCGAAGACGCAGCAGGAGTTGAGGATTGCAAACATAATAGCTTGGCTTTTTAAGTGGATACTTGGGTTGAGTGTATTTAGTGTGCTTTTGGCTTCGCACAACTCTGTTTAAATTGGGGAACGCCCTCAGCCTCTACTTCTGATTTGGTTAAGTTCCTTCCTTTCTTAATTTGAGCTGGTTTATTTTTATATATTCCAAGTAGTTTAGGTACAAGGATCTGGAGGTAATTATCATAACTTTGTTTGAGAGATTGTTTTGGAGAACTCCGCTAAAAGTCTATGCTTTTTCTTTTTCTGTGTTGAGGTGTCGTCTGGTTCTGCTTCATTATGAGCTTTTGTGCTTCTGCACTCCCCTGGGATTCTTCACTCCCCAGCTCTGGGATCTTCAATTCTGAATGGTTGGGGGTCCCAGCCGGCTACATCTGTTGATGCTTCTGTTTTGATTGAATCTCTCCGGTTGTGATGCGCCTCCCTCAAACTATAGTGGCATTTGTTAATTTAAACTTAAAAGGATTGAGGAGCTGCGTCAAACACTTCTGACAGGTACTCATATCTGTCCCACAGAAGTTGGGGTTTTGGGGGCCTTTCATCAACACATTAGTTTCTGGGTGCTCAGTAATTTTTTGTTGGGGTGACGGAGAAACATGAATTTTGCAAATTTGTCCATCGTTTGGTATATCGTCTTAAATTGTGTTATATTATAGAGTATAGATTATTGCAGCATGTGATAATCTATAATCTATAATACAATACAATCTAATACAATGTTACCAATAGAAGGCTTAATGGTTTTTGGGTGGCTGCATATCATCATCCTGTCGTACGCCCTAACCTTTTAAAGTTTAAACCTTTTACATATGACAATATATACCTTTATTGGTTGGAATGGTGAGTTGTTAAACAAAGTTTATTTTCATTCCTTTATGGATCAGTTTTCTATGCCCCATTTTATATAATCACCATACCGTTAGTTGTCAGTTTAACATGCTTAAGGGCTCTTTTATTTCACGCGTTTTGAACTCATGATTCTGATTCTGCTATAGTATTTCTCTCAAAAAAATTTGGATCAGAAAAATAACAGCCAATGGTTCTCAAACAAAATTTGAATTTTAGAATCAAAATCACTGACTTAAATGCGTGAATAAAACGGGCCATTAGTGACTGATTGACTACTTGGTGGTGCTTGAAAAAGTAAGATTTGGTTTGTTTTTTAAGGAAGCTCTCATAGATTACCATTTAGTGTGGTTTAAGTAGTCCCGAATTTGGTTTGGTTTTCGCTTGCGGATTGGCCTACCTGAAGGGCTGAAACTGGTATCTGGCATCCAAGTGACTGGTAGAGATTAAATTCTAGCAAAAAGTGACTGGCAGTTATCGCTTACTCTGTTTTTAGTTTTCTCGGCCTCGCTATTGTGAAAATGGTAACGAGTTTTAACTTTTGTTAATGGGTGAGGTGGTGCGTGTTATCTATGGGGAAATGATTTTAAGTCGAGGGTGTTTAGCTTTCTTGTGCTAGTTTTGTTATGACAACTGCTACTTTTGTAAGATTTGCAGTACTTTGAATTCTTCAAATTGCAGTTCTAATGTTTGCTTCTTTTCAATTGCGTTTTCTCTGTGGATGGGGTTGGTTATTTTTTCACTTTTGACTAATCATACTTCTTTATGGAGGCATCTCTGGCGAAAATCACGGATTGAGACCTTTTGACAATGCAAATTAACTTTTTTTTAATTAGAATTTGATTTTTCACCAATGATTAAAAAGTGGACAATAATCAAGTCTATTTTGGTCGTACAATTTTGAAACTTGCATCAACTGTGCTTATGCGTCTGGCTTTAGATGTAAGAGAGCAAGATAAGGTGCTTATAGTCAAGTGGACCATCGTATTAATCATTAGGCTAAACATAGTGGGTCTAATTGAAACTGTAAGGTGATGTTTTGTCATGGGTTCTTGCATCAGATACCAACATAAATTTAACCAAGTTTAATTATTTGAGAGATGGCAATGCCAAGAAAGCCGACTTTAGCTATCGTTCCATGTAGTTGACTTTGATGTGACTAATCAAGTTTTTTTTTTTTTTTTTTTTTTTGAAGTTTACCAACAATCTTATTAGTAGTGTTAGTTTACGATTTTGTTAAAATCGTAATAAATTAAAATATTATATAAAATATATAATTTTTATTACATATTTGATAATTGAATGTAGTGAATTATCGATATCAATTTAATTGATTTAAATTTTTATTATTATTTGAATAAAATTTTATAGGAAGACTACATTGTATTTTATCATCATCCATTTCATTTTATTATCATACGAGAGGGATAAATCCAAATTTGTATTAAACCATCAATGATTAAAAACATAGATAAATAAAAAATACAATTTTTTTTTAATGAAATAGTGGATAAAGAATGATGTAAAGGAAGATTAGGTTGTTATTTTTTTCAAAAAAAAAAGAATTGAAATAAAAAACTATGGGATATTTGTTCATTTTTTTAATGAAATAGTGGATAAAGAATGATGTAAAGGAAGATTAGGTTGTTATTTTTTTCAAAAAAAAAAAGAATTGAAATAAAAAACTATGGGATATTTGTTCATTTTTTTTAGTCCTACTAGATAAGTTTTATATATATCCGATCAGATATATAAATAGCATTGGCAAGCAGAAGAGAGTGCGCACTGTGTCTCTGTGAACTATGCCATATTCTCGTAATCAGGATTTCTCTGTTCTTCTTGGTTTGTAAAGTTTATTAAAATTGGATACCATTCATTTGTTAGTGTTGTGATTGGCAAGTAAACGGGCCTCTTTAACGCCATGGGAAGTCGGAAGAACTCTTTTTGAATCATGGTTGACGAGTTTGAGTGCTTTATTTTCAATTGGGAAATGATCAAGAAACTACTTTTACGTGATGAAATGAAGCTGGACCTACCATTCCACTTTTCCAGGAGGGAAATTGAAACATATTGCAGATGTTTTAAACTTGAAGTAATAAATCACATAATTATTTTAGTTAGATGACGTTTGGTTCATGTATTTAGAATTATTATCATTTTACGTGTATTTTTTGTGAAAAAAAAATACTATAAAGAATCATGATTCAAATTCAAAAATGAATACAAGAAACAAACGTCCCCTTACTTAGTAAATAACATATTTTTAAAGATTAAATCCTATTTTTTCTTTTTTGACCTTTATTTTCAATTGTAATACCCCTAAAATTGAAATTTTCTAAAATTTCTCTCTCCTCTCTGCCTCAACAATCAACACTTTTTCTCTCTCTCCAGCCCAGCTCTTTCAAAGAATTCTCTCTCAATACGTTCTCTTTCGCCCTCCTCTCTCTCTCTCTCTCTCTGTGCTGACGGTCTGCAACTCTTTCTCGTCGGAGATGGCCAGCCAAAGCAGGCGAGAATCGACGACGGAGAAGGCTGGATCTGAGGACGCGAGACAATGTCCAACAACATGAGGAGGGGTATTTTCGGATGTTAAGAAATTATGATGCTTAACTATGCTATTATCTTCGATACCTAAAAATATGCTATAAATATTTATTATCACTTCAAATCTGCTATATCCAACATTCTCCCTTCTTTTCCATAAAATGAAAAGAGGCTGTCATAAGAAAAATATATATTTTTTAAAATCTCCTTTTAATAAGGAGCTTTGGGAAAATCTAGCACTGGGGCACCCAAAGAAAAAAAAAAATAATACGTCTTTTAATCTTTAATATTTTGTTAAATATCATCCACATTTGGACTTTTTCACAGTAAGAATTACTAGAAACTAATAGTTATTCTAATATTTATTTTTTAGTAGATATTATTATTTTAATTGTATAATTAAATTTCTATATAAGAATTCAACTGCATTAATTGTCATAAAATTATTTTATCAACCATCTAATTTATTACACCTATCGAATTAATATTTTATAGTTAAAATAACGATGTTCATTAATAGATAAATATTAAAGTAACTATTAAAGTTAAATCCACATATATATATATATATTTAAACATTAGGTGTTTAGTATGAAAATTCGTGTCATGATTCGTAACTCGCTACAGTAATTTCTCTTATAAAAATACACTTAAACAAAAATAATTTTAAATATGTGAACTAATCGTCCTGTTTGAGACAATCACATAAAAAAGAGAAAGTATGCAAAACTAATATATAAATAAAGACATGACTGCTCAGTTTTTATTTTTATTTTTATTTTTTAACCCTAAGGTAATGTCATGTTAGAAAATGAATGCCAATATATTTTCTTCCGTAAAGAGTTCTGTACTAAATTGCAATTGTTTGGGATTTTCGAAAGAAGTAGTTCTTTTTATTTTCCTTGTATTTTTGTTCTTCTTGAAAGGTTTTTCACTTTTCCTTTTTCCTTGTATTGCTTTAGCTGAACAAATCAAAGGAGTATTTGATTATGTTATTGTGTATTATGTCCGGTGCGCACCTCTACGCTCCTGAACAAATCACGTGTCTCATAAAAGTAGAAATAGAGGAGTGGCTACAGTTGTGCCCTTCCAAATCTGTACAAAGTTGGTGCGGTTCGCTAGTGGTAACATGTCAAATGTCAACTTCAAACCAACAATTTTCGCCACCAATGATTTGTGAGATATTTATATTTTTATACCATGTGTTTTAAGTTGATTCAAAATTAAGTGTTTAATTTCATTAAATGTACATCTTTAAATTAAATTTAATATATGAATTTATGCCTTATTTCAATAGTAATTGATTTCAATCTTTAAAATGACAAAATTATCCCAAAAAAGATAGAAAATAAACCAAAACTTTCCAACATTACAAACAATAAAAATTTAAAACACACAAAAAAAAAATCTATTTCAATGGTATTTTATATATTTTGAGGTCAAAGCTGTAAGTTTAAGGTTTTTTTAATTTTTTTCTTTTTCTTTTTCTTTTTTTAATTCAATAGTATTTTAAGTATTTTTAAGGTTAAAATCAATAGTTGACTATGGAAATGTATAAATTTAGATAATAAAATTAATTTAAAGATATAAATTTAATGAGATTAAAAGTTAAAAGTATAATTTTTGTATAAATCTAAAACACACAGTATAAAAAAGTAAATATCTCATGATTTTTTATTGAAAAATACTCAAAACCCACCGGTATTAAATACCATTATTTATATAAGGTGGACCCTACTTATAAATCTCACACCGCAAGATTCACGTTTTATGAGAAGTGTCCGGTACCCAATAACATTTCTCTTTTTTCTTTTCACGCTTTTCATTCCATGAATTCAAGCCTATGAACCCCCGAGTCAACTCTCTCTCTCTCCCTCTCTCTCTCTCTGGCCTCTTATAGTATTTGTTTTGGAAAGAACCTCGTTCATTTCACCGATTTAAGTTTAAAATTGGAGTTTTGTTATAGTAAAAAATTCTAAAAAACAGTCACATCTAACATTTTTACTTTAGTAAAAAACTCTCATACAAAATTATATATTAACTCGAATTAAAATTTAAATCAGTTAACTAAACGGGCCCGATTAGTTTGGTTTTCATATGTTGATAGACCTTTTACGATCAATTAATTTAATTTTATGAACCATAAATACAAACTTCAATGGAAGAGAGGACAAAAAGCAAATGGTTGCAATATCACGGTTAAAAGCTTCCAATGTAGGTGGCTACTACTAAACTGATTGTCAGAGTTCGAACTAATGGTGAAACAATAAAAATAAAACACTTTCATAAAATTAAATTTATGCATGGTATTTCTCTTGTAACTATGAATGGTTAATCTAGTATATCTAGAGCCCGTTTAGTTCGATGATTCGAATTTTTAATTTAAGTTGAGATGTGATTTTATGTGAGAATTTTTTACTGTAACAAAAAAATTAAATGTGATTATTTGTGAGAATTTTTTATTGTAATAAAACTCAAATTCTAAACTCAAATTTTAACCGGAATCATAAATAAATGAGAATACATTTCTTGAGACTAGTTTGCATACAATCCAGTGCAAATATGAGAGAGAAGGTTAAAGTGATAAAGTGTCTTGACATTATTATATTATTACTCTTTTTATTTCCCGTATTATTTATATTTTTCGGTCATAATAATCCGTGCCTTTTTCAACAAACTTCTTTTATAAAACTAAAGTATAAAGTATATTTCTCCCTAGATTTGAAAAAAGAAAAAAAGGTGACCGTTTTTTTTTTTTTTAAATTTAACGCAATAATAGAATTATAAATTCTTTTAAGCCATGCAAGTTTTCTTCTTTGAGCTCCTACTATGGCGTTGCTGACATGGCAGATTATGGTTTGGCAACATATTTCAAATGACAACGGCCCCACTTTATGGGATCCGAATCTGTTATAATAACCGATCGTGCCTCCCTTCTTTAACCAATATCCCAAAGAAAATCTTCCAAAAATGAAAGAAATAGAATAACAAAATCTCAAGGAGAAGAACAAAAAAAGATAAATAAATAAAGTTTGGTCCATTCCACGCAAAAATAAAAAACTAAAAACTATAATCTTTCTTGATTTCTGCTTCTTTCTTTTCATTTTCTTTTCTTTTTTTTTTTCATTTTCTTTTCGTTTTTTCCTCCTTACTCGGAACATTACAATCATTATCTTCCTACATGGTCTCCACGTCCCTTCTCTCTCTCTCTCTCTCTCTCTCTATCTCTCTCTACTTTCATAGCTTTCTTAAATTCAACACACAAATAACTGACCATCTTAGCTGTGTTTCATTGCTTTAGCTGTTGGTTTTTCGGTGTGAGCTTTTAAAGAAAGTCAAAGCACATAAAGACAAGTCACATTGTTTCAACCCCAAGTTTCAATCTTCTAAAGTTTTTCCTTCCTTTTTTCCAAAAATTTCCCACAAAAATTTTCCTTTCTCTCGGAAACCACCAATTTCATTTCCTTGGTTTGTTAGGAAGACATCATACGAGAAACTTATCCACCACACTTTAAGAATTCAATTTAACCTAAAAAATTAACTTATTAAATCTTAAATCATTTCATGTATATAAATTACTGCACATTTTTATCTATTTTTTCATGTGGGACAACACACGTACACTTTTTTTAACAGGTTCTATTTTCAACTTTCATTTAGATCCAACAAATGAACAGCTGATTCATATTAAGGAGCAGAAGAACTCTAAAAATCATGTAAAAAATGGGAAACTTGGAAAAATCTATGTTCAAGCACAACTTACATATTCTATATTTTGTGTGTATTCATATATGGTTTTAGTACATTTATTTATGTAAACACAAACTGCAAATATGGAGTTGAAGAAAGAGAAGCTAGTGAGGTAATATGATTATTAACTTTATATTCTGTTTCATTTTTCCCATTTTCAATTCTTTTACAATTTGCTTTAGAAGGTTTTTTTCTTGTTTTTTCATTCATAGGTTTTACCATGACGGAAACAAAGACGGTCTTTTTTCATGGGAAGCAAATGACACCAACCGCCACCAAGAAAAGCCATTGCCAATGAGCAAAGTATCCGCGGAACCTCTGTTGGATTCGGGAGGAGTAAGTGTTGGTTCCAGAAACAGAATTAGTATTCCGAAATTCGGGAGGTTTAAGGTTTTCCCAGAGAACCAAAAGCCATGGAGAAAGAGGATTCTAGACCCCGGAAGTGAAATTTTCCTGCAATGGAACCGGGTCTTCCTCGTCTTCTGCTTACTCGCGCTTTTCGTCGATCCCTTCTTCTTCTACCTTCCGGCGGTTTCCACTCACGGTACCTCGTCGTGTATGGGGACCGATTTGAACTTGGGAATCGTCGCGACGTGTTTCCGGACGCTTGCCGATGTGTTCTACTTGTTGCATATAGTCATAAAGTTCAGGACAGCCTATGTCTCTCCGAGTTCAAGAGTATTTGGGAAGGGTGAACTCGTTATGGATCCAAAGATGATTGCAAGAAGGTATTTGAAATCTGATTTCTTCATAGATCTCATAGCTGCACTGCCTCTTCCTCAGGTACTTTTTGTCATCATAATTATTTCCACACATTTCATTTGCCACTGAATTGTGTGTTCATTTACGATGCATCTCTAGGAATATTTGAACCTTGTCATAGTGTATCTTGAATTTTAGTGGCTTTTGTAAGAATTTCAATGCGAGACATTTCTGATGCAAATGTCAAATGGCAGTGCTATATCTGGCATTAAAAAGTGAAAATAGCATGTTCTGTGTTATTCAATTTTAATGATATTTTAAATACTATATCTACTTTTTATCGTAACTATTAAGCTTTAGAAATTGTACTTTTAATTTTAAAATAATTTGAAAATGATAATGATTAAATGAAAATTTTGAATGCATCATTTGAAAATGATAATGATGAAATGAAAATTTTGAATGCATCAATCACTAGCAACTCGATATAAAATTTGACATATGCTATATTTGGTGCTAAATTTGGCACCATGTATAGCATATGCCAAATTTGGTACTAAAAATAGCATTGTATTAGGGAGTAACTTTACTATTCGAATGCTAAAGTTTGGCATTGACAGATTAACTTGATGCTGCGTAGGTGAGGCTCTAAGCTTCTATTTTTCTGGTTCATTTTGGGTCTAAATTGTAATAGCAAAGAAAGGAAATTTATAATAAGGAAAAAGGGTCCTTGAATCTTGTAAATGCTTGAATTTCTTTTACTACATGAATTTTATGAAGGTCAAGAGTAACAGGATCTTTGTCTTGTTGTTGCAGATTGTGATATGGTTTATTTTACCAGCAAGCAGAAGCCAACACTCTGATCATACCAACAATGCCCTTGTGCTGATTGTTCTGCTCCAATATGTTCCAAGGTTATATCTGATTTTTCCATTGAGTTCTCAGATCATCAAAGCCACTGGCGTCGTCACAAAGACTGCTTGGGCTGGGGCTGCGTATAATCTCCTACTCTATATGCTCGCTAGTCATGTAACTTCTTCATCTTCTTGTTCCTTTTTTTTATTTTTTTACTGAGCAAAAGGAATGGTTTTTGATTGATTCTACTTAATCTAATCTAGATCCTAGGGGCATCATGGTATTTGTTGTCAATCGAACGGTATGCAACATGCTGGAAATTGATATGCAAAAAGGAAGTCCTCCCCGAAAAATGCCTTCTTAAGTACATGGATTGCGATGCTTTAGACGACGATAATCGCCATAGATGGATGAATAGTACCACTGTATTCAGCAGCTGTCAACCGGAACGAGATATTTTCAACTATGGAATATTTGGAAATGCAGTGACCAATAATGTACTATCCACGCACTTTCTTGAGAAGTATTTCTATTGTCTTTGGTGGGGCTTACAGAACTTGAGGTATAAAGAATTGGGATTGAGCTGTGCTTCAATTTACTCTTTCAATAACCTTAAAAAGTGCTATGTATATTTTTCTGAATTAGATTAACTCCTACATTACTTGCAAATGGTTAGTGCGAGAAACAGGCTAAAATGCTTGTTTACTTTGAAATTTAATATATGTGTTTCCTTTTAAAACTTCTCAGTTCCTATGGCCAGAGTCTGAGCACAAGCACATTTGTAGGGGAGACTTGTTTTGCCATTCTCATTGCCATCTTGGGTCTGGTTTTGTTTGCCCACCTAATCGGAAACATGCAGGTACAAACCAAGACATTCACCTCAAACATCAAAGCCTTCCTTCTTGTTTCTTCTCTTTTCCATTGAATTATTCATAAAAGTTTCTTATTGTAACATATCTCACATTTGAAACTAGCTGTTTGTTCTTATTCTTAAAATTACTATGCTATATATAGCCATAATTCATAGGAGATGTGTTTGGTGCAGACCTATTTGCAATCAATCACGGTGAGGCTTGAAGAATGGAGGCTAAAGCGAAGAGACACCGAGGAGTGGATGAGCCACCGTCAACTCCCTCAAAGTCTTCGAGAGCGAGTTAGGCGATTTGTTCAGTATAAGTGGCTGGCAACTAGGGGAGTTGATGAAGAATCAATCTTGCACGCCTTACCAACAGATCTCCGTCGAGACATCCAACGCCATCTCTGCTTGGACCTTGTTCGACGTGTAAGTTTTGGCAGTCTATATTAATATCCCTCAAAAAGAAAGGACCAATGGTTATCATTGAAGTTTCAGTTCAATGTGCGGAGCCTAAATATTGACCTACATAGAGACAACACGCACATCAACCTTGTAAATTTGATTGCCCTAGTTCCTTCACATATCGAAAGGAGGTGCCATATTTAGGGTTAAGAGAATGTGTGCGATTCTCTTGTATTGTTTTTGTTCACAATATTGAATTATTATAGCGGCTAAAACTAGTTGTTGCTCACATTAAGGATGACCCATTATAAATGTTGTTTTTTTTTCCTCATGATTTTATTGCTCTCGACAGTAAAGACTTGGACCTCTAATTGTTTAACAGTAATCTCACTCAAACAAAAGCAAAATGCAGGTACCCTTTTTCGCACAAATGGACGATCAGCTCCTCGACGCCATATGCGAGCGCTTGGTGTCCTCCTTAAGCACGGAAGGCACCTACATAGTGCGCGAAGGCGACCCCGTTACAGAAATGCTCTTCATCATCCGAGGGAAGCTAGAAAGCTCAACCACGAACGGAGGCAGAACTGGTTTCTTCAACTCCATCACTCTAAGGCCCGGTGATTTTTGCGGCGAGGAGCTGCTCTCGTGGGCATTGCTTCCAAAGTCCACTCTCAACATGCCATCTTCAACAAGAACCGTTAAAGCTCTCGATGAAGTGGAAGCATTTGCACTGAGAGCCGAAGACCTCAAATTCGTCGCCAACCAGTTCAGAAGGCTTCACAGCAAGAAGCTCCAACACACATTCCGGTTCTACTCCTACCATTGGAGGACATGGGCAGCCTGCTTCATCCAGGCTGCGTGGCAGCGATACAAGAAGAGGAAGCTCGCCAAGAGCCTTAGTATGGCGGAGTCGTTTTCTGTCAGTCATTTAAGCGAACAGATGGTGGACGAAGCTGAGGGGGGAGAGGAATATGAAGGTGATGAACAGAACAATGGTGGAAATGGTTCAAACAGCTCGCAGGGGAAACCCCATTTGGGTGTGACGATTCTGGCTTCGAGATTTGCGGCGAATACAAGGAGAGGAGCTCAGAAAGTGAAGGTTGATCATGTTGAGATGCCCAAGTTTCAGAAGCCTGAAGAGCCGGACTTTTTAGCGGAGGCAGATGATGAATTAAGTTTGATATGAATTAATTAATACTTAATACCACATATTTTGTAGATGTCAAGTGCTAAAGCTGGTGTAGAAATTGGAAGCACATTTGAAAGGGTAGAGAACATAACACAATTTCTCATACAATTTACTCGGTCCAAACACCAATCTCACACGTGAAGTATTCTACCGCAGGAAATATGGCACAGATAAGTAATCGGTTCCACTTGTAAACTCGAAGGAAAGGAAACTGTTAAAAAGAAAAATAATGTGTATTGAACTTCACAAATAGACAACGAAAAATATGCTCTAAAAATTGTGCATACACACACACATAGCTCTTTAACAGTTTCCTTACGATCAATGGAGTATATATTCAATCGATGTTGAAAATCCCACTAATGCCACACAAAAAGCCGTTAAAGAAACAAATTCATCGGATAGAAAACATAACTAAATATTAAACAAATGAAACAAACGCGCAAACAAGGAAGTAAAAACCATTGTTATTACAAACCCAAACTAAAACTAAATACAAAGAGGAAGAAAACAACCACAAATAACAACAATAAAGCTTTCAGCGGAGAGAACACTACTAACCCTCGAAAAAGATAGGAAAAGGTCATGCACTGAATAAAGGGTGAAGTATCATCGATAAGCCGTCAAACCAAGGCACATACACCACATGCATAGCCCAACGTAGCTGCCCAACATAACATTTTCGACACATCATGAGAGCAACGATGTCGGAGAAACGACATGCCTGACATGCTAAGAACAACCAACACTCCTCCCCTATTTCATCTCAAATTCCACCATGGTTACGGTCTTAGATTGTGTTTGTAAAAGTGGGGGGAGTTCTTTAATAGGGTATGAAAAATACATATTGATAGGATAAATTTTAACCATAATATTAAATTCATGTACTATTTTCCATTGTTAAGTCAAATTAAAATCAAATTAGACTAAATAAAACATAACAGTTTAACGAAACTTAACAGAACATGGGGGGGTAGTTACAGAGTTGAACTCAACTAAATATGATAAATCTAGGAAATGAGTGAACCTGAAACTATATTTATGTGAGCTTGAAGCGCATATGAAAACGGCTTGAATTACGCCCGCATTTGGCAAAGGAAAATGGGGTTAGTGGTTTGTTGTAGCCTAAAGGACTATTATATTATTTGGCAACTATGAATCACGCCCAAGTCCTGATCTTCGCACTCTATCATAACATAACATTTGAGTTTTATATGGTTGCCAATGCAATTTTGTGATATCTTCTAATCTTTGTATTACGCAAGCGCCAAAAGAAATGTTGTCAATTTTTTTTTATTTTTTTTATTGTTGGAAACCCAAAGTTAATATAATTTTGTTAGATATTTATCACAAATTAATAAAAGAACTGAAAATTAAAAAGTTCTGGTTATGAACGAAAACATACAAAAATTTGTTACCATAAACCACAATTGATAATTATCACGAGTCATAATTATCATGAGTCACGTGGACATTGTTTATTACGAATTAGAGTTCAAGCTCTCATTGTGAATTAGAGTGTGTTCACTTATAATTGGCAAACACAATTACATGTAAGAATTATATAGCTCACGTAATAAAATAAAAGCTCATTAATATTATTTATTTAATAGTTTAATAATTATCTTAATACTAAAATTTTATTGGCTACCTCTTATTGAAGGATGTGTCTGCATCTCATGAAGGGATGTGTGCTTTGATGAAAGACACTAATTCATGATCTATAAAATAAGAGTCTAGTCCTCTCTCTACTTAATAATGTGTATATCATCTCTTCATCAGAAAAATACGTTAAAGATTACAGAGGGTCTAGAGAGAAACTTAAATTTTACTTTTCCTTCAAATTAACTGTACAAGTGATCTTTTCAAATCAAAATAATAAGTCAATGTACGCTTATAATTATAATTATGTGAGAATGATGATGTTCTAAAATATTTAGATATTATAGATCTAAAATTTACATTACACACCCAATATCGGAATTGGAAACCAATTAAAAGGTATAGTTTCTTTTATAAGCATATAAAACGTGGAACTTGAGCTCTCCTTACCATGTCAGATTTTGGACGCATTCCTTTCCAATTCTAATATAACTATAATCGCCTTTTGTTCCATTACCTCTAATAAACTAATAAAATGTAATTTTTTTTCACTATGACGTTCAGAAAATTATAAGAACAACCATTTTTTTATCATCTTATTATTTATACTATTAAAAATTTATACTATTAAAAATATTTTGGTAGAATATAAAACGTATTTCGTATTTTGATAGAATACGAGAAACATCTTGTGCGAGAAAAAAATTATTTTCATAGAAATACTAAAAGCATAAATGATAAATGTTAAAATTGATAGTAGAAATAAATATAGTATTATCTGTTTTATGATATTATTGAAAATTTATCTAAGTAGACAATTGGACATTAGGCCTTGAATTAAAAAGGTCTGACAATGACACCATAATTGATAACTCGGTTAATTTATTTGACCAAAATTAGCATCTGCTTGCACATTATGAATGAGGGGAAGATTTTCAAAATTTCTAAAATGGATATCTCCCTTCCTAAAACTTCTTTGGGGCTCCAAAATTTTTTCTATGATAATGATTTATAAGGTTGGCATTTAAAAAAAAAAAAATTGGAGATTCAAATTCTATAGTTTGTGGTGGAGCCGGAGATGAAATTACAGTTAGATTGTATCTGCAACTACTATATTTTGTATACAATTGGTTTCAAGACCCAATCCATTGAGATGATCCTCGATTAATTTCGACTCCCGCTGAACCATTATTGTTTTTTGCATCCAAGGTTGCGCATACGAGATGTATCCGACTAGCTCTATTTTTAATTAAGCGCAAATATGGGAAATTTTTGGGATCTCCACAATAGAATTCCCAAAAGAAAAAAGAAAAATACAATATTTTCTTTTTTTTTTCTAGTTAAAAAAAAGTAAATTATTGGTGTCCTCACGCACCTACTTAGCGTCTATAAAAAGAATTAACTAGTTCTACGCACCTACTTAGCGTCTATAAAAAGAATAAACTAGTTCTACCTTGTATAATGGTGAAGGGTTAAACCTATTTTTTACTTATTCACAAACACAGTTTTCACCTATCCACCATTAGTCCCTTGTACACACTATAAGTGAATATTGCCACTTTTAAGACGGAAACTCCTTTCGTCAAGATGTGAAAAACTTGGAAAGCAGTCGTCCGGTGGTATACAATATTTCCTAGTTGGAAGGGGGATCTAAGTCTTCTTGGGCTCATAACTAAAGCACTTATCGCTCCAACTCTTGATTAAATTCCTAAATAATGGAGCGAACTATTCAACTATCCTAGCCTTTTTCACATCCTTTATCCAGCATAGCGATCATAATCCGTTATTGCGCAGTCTTTTGTATGGTTATCTCTTTTCTCTTTGAGCCTCCTTAAGGTCCAATTCAGTTAAAGATGATTAATTGAACATATTACCCACTCTAGAAAAAAAAAAAAAAAAAAAAAAAAAAACCCCATAAGGATTGACATTTGACAATTGTGTTGAACATTATGCGGTAGCACATTTAAGTTGTTAATCAATACAAGCTCTCATAAAAAAAAAGTTCCATGTGCACGTAAAGCCTAAAGTGCAATACTCCACCAAAAACTATATATCTTTTAGATAATAGATCTCGAACTTTTAATTTAATAAATTGTACCTAAACTTTAAAATTAATAGTCACTGAAGTCCAATTGTTAACGATCCTTGTTAAATTGATAGTTTAAGACGTATAAAAGATAAAGATTGTTATTTTTCAAAGTGCAAATCTCATGTATCAAACTGTCAATTTGCTCACATCATCAACTATTAAATGTCAATTGCATATGATTTTACACTTTTTAGTGCATTTTAACATAATTAAAAATTTTAGATCCGTTACACACAAAAAGAAAGAAAAGAAAAAAAAAAAAAAAAAACCAAACAGTTTGGATTGCAACAGTGCAATTTACTCAAATGTGAATGGTGATGTCCCAACCGTACAACAATCTAGCACCAACATTAATTAATTGGGACTTATAATTGAGCGTTACCACCAATTTGAGTAAACATAATTAAAAATTTTAGAACCGTTACACACAAAAAAAAAAAAAAAAAAAAAAAAAAAAAAAAAACCAAACAGTTTGGATTGCAACAGTGCAATTTACTCAAATGTGAATGGTGATGTCCCAACCGTACAACAATCTAGCACCAACATTAATTAATTGGGACTTATAATTGAGCGTTACCACCAATTTGAGTACTATCCTACCCTACCCTTAACTCCCACTTGGATAGTATCCAACTTTTGCTGGTTCAAATAAATGAGGACCCAAAACCAAACGTACCAAAACAGTTGGCCCCTCAAACCAACAAGAAACCAGTCCAATCCAAAAACTTAAATGTAGTGGACCATATTTGGGTACTCAAGTTAAAAATTGGTGTTTGTCCTTAATTATACTTCCAAAACAATTGGTACGATCTCAGAAAGCCAGAATCAGAATATGCCCACAAAAGATCTCTGGCCCCTTTAGTTTGCAATACCAAATGAGTAAGAATTGTCATAAGGGGAAAAAATACGTGTGCCAATATAAAAAGGAAAAAAAGAAAACAGAAAAACAAACAAAATACAACAAAAATAATGCAAAGTTAGAGTAGAGAATCGGCATATGCCCACAAAGATCTCTTGCCCTGCAATCTAGAGGCCCTCACTAAAGAGAGAAAAGTCAAATGAAACCAAACAAACCTCAGTCATCGCAAAATGCCATGAAACATGAGTTTTGTTTCTCTATTTTTGCCTGCCGACACTTTGATATTTATCCAAAGAAGCAAAGCTTGAGGTACCATTTTATTTGACTTTTTTGGCAAAAATGTAAAAGAAAAACAACTGAGACAGTTAATATTATGCAGTGCACTGGTACAATTATTTTACAAGGTGCCAAATGAAAGAAAAGAAAGAGAAACAAGGCATTTGAGAGAGCTTATTTGTTGTATATGGAAGGTAACACAAGACAAGTAGAGACAAATGGAACCTATGAACCAAAAAAAGCAGCGGGAAATATCAACCTTCTTAGACTTCACTCAGGCTGCTTCAATGCTACAATACAAATATGGCTTGGATCTGAGACACCAAATCACACCCAAGGAAGAATCAATATATAGCTACAATGAATATGAAGTGGAAAAACGAGAACAAGAAATTCTGTCTCAACCTAGCAAAAGGAAGAAATTTAATACCTATGGCTTGTCAAAATGAGCAAGTTTCCATCAAATAAAATATGGATAACAAACTAGTTTGTTGGGTAACTGAATCACAGGTTATTCCTTCACTGTGATTTCCCACAAATAATGGGGATTTCCTTTTCTTTGGCTTCCCATGCATTCTTAGCTCTCTTTGGCTTCCCATGCATTCTTAGCTCATTTGTTCACCAATTAGATCAAGACCCACAAGGAGAAAGGTGATTCCTTGGAAAAGAAGGAAGTAGAAATGGACACCTTGTGCAGATAGGAGGCTCCTAACAGAAGCTGTGAGCAAAAGGAATGCCAAAGCAAGTTCTTTCTTGTATATCTTGTTAACTTTCTTAACAGGCACTGAAGCCACTTCTTTCTGTTCCATAAGTCGGTTCAACTCCAAAAGCTCGCTCTCAGAAGCTCCTCTGTGGATCTGCAACTGATTCATTGTCTTTGATTCTCGCTCAGCAGCAGCCAGTAAGTCGGATTCTGATGACCTACCGGTCTTCTTTGTAACCGTCCACTCGTAAGAGCTACCCAACTGGAACAATCCAGAGATCATTGCATTGAATTTGGTGACAGACATGGTATTTTCGAACAGGAGGTAAGGAACGATGAAAGGGAAGGATTTAGGAGCCGGAAGAATGTTGAGGAATGACATGAAAACAGGCACATAACATATGACCCACACAGGAAGCTCGGCTTCCGGGACAAACATGGTTAGCGGAAGAATTATGCAGAACAATGTGAAAGAATAGAAAGGAAGGATGAGTTTCCTTAATAAAAAGAATAGTAAAATCATGTTTGCCTTCTTCAATGCTGATATCTGCATAATTAAGAGGAATTCAAGTATTTCAAGTCCATGTTGTATACAACAGCTGAGAACCAAGGAAATTAACTAATTAAGTGCTGGCAGTACCTTTGAAGTTAAAATTGCAGGAAGACATAATCTAAAGAGTTGCATAGGACCAGAATGCCAGCGGTGTTGCTGTTTCCTGTAAGCTTCGTATGACTCGGGAACTTCGCAAAGTACCTGAAAAATCAATCTCAAATAAATACTGTCACAAAAATACGAAAAGGGGAAAAAACTACTAAATCAGCGTCTCTTTACTCGGCATCAAGAGCACGCAGCCACCAGTTTTCCATAAACTGTTAATAGGTTTAAAACTACTTGATTTCTGAATATGATGTTATATTCGGTAAATGGCACTTGAAATATAGGATAAAGATTAAATGGGAGGAACAAGAATCATTTAATATTACCTTGACATCATTGAGGAAGATGAATTTCCAACCATTGAGATGGGCCCTGACTGCAATGTCCATATCTTCCACAGTAGTCCTTTCAAGCCACCCTCCAGACTCTTCGAGCGCTTTAATTCTCCAAACACCAGCAGTTCCATTGAAACCAAAGAAGTTAAGGAACACCCCATTAACCTGCTGTTCCACCTCAAAGTGGAAGCATAAATTAATGTTTTGGAGACGCGTTAGCAAGTTCTCATCCTTGTTCACAAAGGCCCATCTAGCCTGAACAAGACCTAGTTCGGGTTTGTCCTGTAACACAAGGTAAGAATTTTAAAAATAGTAACAATAAACGAAAAAATTCTTGAATATCAAACTAAAAATTACAATCGTCCACCTTGAAGTGTGGCACGGTTTGCTTAAGAAAATCTGGATTTGGCTGGAAATCTGCATCGAAAATTGCTACAAATTCGCAGTCCTTAATATAATCACAGTTCATTGCCGACTTAAGGTTCCCAGCTTTGTAACCGGTTCTAACTTCTCGATGCCGATATCTTATGTTGATACCCTTTTGGCTCCACTTGGCAACCTCGGCCTGAATTAAGCATTGGATGCTCTCATCACTGGAATCATCAAGAACTTGAATCAGTAAACGGTTCTTCGGCCAATCGATTTGGCAGACAGCAGACATTGACTGTTCATACACCTACATCAGGCCAGTGCAAGAAAAAGTAGTGAATTTCATGAAAGTCTACAAAAGCAAATGCTGTTGCTAATTTCCATTGACTAATAATACTTCCTTTGGATGTCTCCATCACTAATGACATAATATTCGTTATAATATTCCACTATTATGGCTAAATAACAGATCTAAAATACGATAAAAAGGTCTCAATAATGACTTAGATAGTTAATTAATCTTTCATTGCGAAAAGTCCCTCTTCACGAGTTTGCCTCTAGCTAGAAACAAATAGACCAATATAAAACCAAATTCATTTAATGGACCAAAGAAATTAGAGCATAAAATGGGAAAATAAAGCTCAACATAAGTTACCTCTCTCTCATTGCACATTGGGATTTGAACAAGAACCATTGGATACTCATAGCCTGCAGATTTCTCAACATCACTCATTTCGAAAGGATCCCCCTTAACTCTTGGCTTAATTTTCTTGTACTTTATCCACAAGCAACCTAAGCAAAGTATCATACGATCAGCCGATTGGATTAGGAACAGGACGACGCAAAAAGTCGAGAGAGCTTGAATAGTGGGTGCAATGTACTCAGCCCGGAACGTTAACCAGGCAACATAGACCATGTGGAGCCACCCTTGCAATTCAGAAGTTCGTGGAATATGCAAATTTGGATTCCGAAAATAATGCCAACCTTTGAAGTATGCAACCACCTCAAAGGCCAGAATTGCCAAGGAAGTCGCCAAGAACACTTTAATGACTCTAAATAGCAGCTTTCCCTTTCCCAACTTCTCAGTATCCACATCCACTCCTTGCCTATGAACTAATCTCTTCTTAATGGCACCAAGCAACGCCCAGATAACTGTAGCCAGCCAAGCGAGGCCACCGACAGCTCGGTGAGCCTTGAGAAGCAAGACCCAAGTCACTTGCTTTGCATTCTTTCCTCTGCTCTTCTCCACAGGCCTAAATGCAGCATCTGGACCATCAATCTCCACAACGGAAATGTTTGGATTCTCCATTGTCACCACCACAGGTGTCCCCTTCCGGATACTATCCTTTGCCCACAGATTGGAAAAATCCAGTCTCGGAGCCATTTTCTCAAACACAAACCTAGCAGCAAACACAAACCCAAAATCCCCAATTTTTTCTTTTCCTTTTTCTTTTTCTTCAAGAACCCAGATCTGAAAATGGAAAACTGAGCAAAACCCAATTCAGAAAACACCCAAAAAGAACTGAATTCCCCTATTTCTCAATCAAAACTAAGAGAATCCAGAACCCATTTCAAGGCTCTCTCTCTCTCTCTCTGACTCTACACAACAACAAAATGCAGGCGTGAAAAGAAGCAACAAAGAGTGTATTAAAATGTAGGCTCTAAGAAACTCTCAAAAAGAGCCAGAACAGCAAAGGAAAAGCCACATTATGGGGAAAGGTATCTCAAGCTGCAAGACCCTTACTTGTTGCGTGTGGGGTATTATTATTCTTCAAGTGTTCCCAAAGAAGCTCACACAACCAAGTGAATATATAACTTGACTCAGCACATAGAATCTGCCTTAAATAACAAAAGATTAAAATAATGATAACAAAAATGCTACGTCTCAAGTAAAAAAAGTTCCACAAGCAGAGATATCACCTGAGAGAAAAAAATAGTACGAGACCAGGGAGGATCAGTTGACTAGAAGTAAACTTCTCTTGAGTGAGTTTTGGGTTGAGAGACCAAACTGTGAAAAAATAAAGTCAAAAAGGAGGAGTGTGGATTAGAGAGAGAGAGAGACAGAATTGAGCCGTTGAAGAGTAAACAGGAAGGCATACGCCGTCAATTCTAAATGTAAAAAAAAAAAACACAGATAAGTTAAAGTACGTATCTGTTACAGAAAATGCAGACAATCAAACTGTCAGAAAGCAATCTAATCCCGTAACCCATATCCATTTCCACTCTCTTTGCGCTGTAATAACACAGAATCTGTCCGGGAGTGGGAAAAAATAAAAAATAAAAAAAGGGAAAAAAAATAATTTGCTCATTTAAATTTTTAATTTTTATAATTAAATTTTTTTAGAAAATATTACATTTAATTTTTTTTTATTATAGTTAAAATTTTTTAAAATATGTTACATTTCAACTCGAATCTGCGAAGCGAACGAATATCTCAACTCGAATTCGCGAAACGAACGAGACCTTAAGTTTTTAATATATTTTTTTTAAAATAATTTATTTTCTTTTTTTAAAATATATAAGTTACATTCCAAATTAAAAAAAATACACACGTCAATATTGATCTCTATATATAAAGACACTTGACCCTAACAACCCTACCCGACTGATTCTATGAGTAGAATCTAACAACGGGCAAAGAGTGACAATATGCCTAATTTCCTCAATAAAAACACATAATCAAAACAGCTTTTGGATTAAATCGTAGAGTTGAGCAGCTTTGCTGGAGCATTACAATTTACAATGAATTCAACCCTACTATTAGTTAAAAAGTTATTGTGACTAGAAGCATATAAGTATTTGATAAATTTTTTTCTCAAAATTGTTGCACATACCATAGAAAATTAAGTAGTTGGTAAACTATATGTAAAGTTACTATAAAAATATATAATGACTAACGCAAACATACTTTAGCAGACTTACTTTTAGTTAGTTTTCTTTATATTTTTTAGGTCAATATTCTTACACAAAAACACTAAATATATATATATATATATAATTTTGATTTATTATTTAAAATATTTCTAAAAGATAAAATTACTTTATTTATTGTTGTTATTTTTAAACATTTTGATAATTATCAAAAACATTTGAGTGTAGTTTAGCATACTATACTTATTTAAATTTCCAATTTTAAATAAATATTTAAAAAATTGTATTTTTTTAAAATTTAGTATAAAATATAAATGGATAGATAGAAAACCGAGTTTTATTATTAAGGTTATTTCTGTAAATTATACCTTGACAGCAGAAGTAGTCATGCAAAAGTAAACCTTGACCTACTTCTTAAATTCTACTGTTTGACAATAATTTTTACAAGCATATTGATAAAAACAAAATTTACTAAAGACCCTAACCTATTATAGTTTCTTAAAAAAATAAAAAGCAGTCTTTAAAATCAATTATAATTTGACTTGAGCTTCCTCAACTGCCTATAAACTGTCACAACTAAAACTTCAAAGATCATTCAAATTTAGAGTTGCAAGTTTCAATCGGACTAAACTGACCGATTCGAGACCAGCCAATATTAGCTTGGGTCTAGCCCGATCAGACCCTAACCTTCGAACCTGATCAGACCAAGCTTTCAAGCCTGAAAACTTATTAAGACCAGCCCAAGCATCCTTTTTATTTTTATTTTTAAATACCGTATAACTTTCACCTCTTTTCAAATCAATATATCCTGACTTTTAGAGCTAATTGCTTTCAATCGAGTAAAAGTTTAGTGGCAGAGTTATATTAGGAGACTTGACATTTATAATATTTATAAAAAGAAAAAAGGAAATAATATTTGTTAACAATGGACCGCAACGAATAAGGTGTTCGTCCTATGTATGACTCACTCCTTTTGTCTTTACTGATAATATATATTTCATTAAAATTTGGCGATGAAACCGTCATAATTTACATTTAGGGACAAAAATGTTAAATAAGTGAGTGTTCAGGGGAATTTTGGTAATAAATCAAGAATAGAATAAATTACAGGAATATTCACCGTTTTATACTTTGTGTTTTGAGTTTATTGAAAAGTTATATCTTTACTTTTTGATCTCAGCAAATATATATCTTTAAATTAGATTTAATATATAAATCTATACCTTTCCACGATTAATTTGTAATTTTAACCTTAAAAATAAAATACTCTTAAATAAAAAGGGTAAATGAAAGAAATAAAAAAAATTATAAACTTACTATTTTCACCTTAAAAATATGCAAAATTTGTGTGTTTTTTATTTCTCTTTTTTGCAATATTTAAAAGTTTTAGTTTTCTTTTTTCTCTTTTTCTTAAGGATAGTTTGGTCATTTTAAAGGTTAAAATCAATTGTTGACCGAGATAAAGTATGAATTTGTATATTAAATTTAATTTAAAAATAAACATTTAATGTGGTAAAAAAATAAAAGTATAGTTTTTGAAATAAATCTAAAATCCAGGATATAGAAATGTAAATATCTCTTCAAGGTTAAATAAAATAAGGGCCTTTTTAATAAGGGCGCTCAATCTCATTTGATAACATAATTATTAAAACGAACGAAACATAATCTTTACAGAAAACTAGCTTATGTATAAGAATATTCATCTATTGCTTAACTGATATATTTGGACTCTCAAGTCAGATTATTACCATTAATGTCTTTTTATTGGGAGATTCTCTGGTAGATTCTTTAGTACGCCTGGTGTACTGACATATCAAGTTTTTTAACCGTTAGATCTACGTACTTTGACTTTTATATGTTTGGACTCTCAAGTCAGATTATTACCATTAATGTCTTTTTATTGGGAGATTCTCTGGTAGATTCTTTAGTACGCCTAGCGTACCGACATGTCAAGTTTTTTTAACCGTTAGATCTACGTACTTTGACTTTTACGTGATTTTATGCATATCTATCAAAAAACTCAGCATACCATAGTACCATAGAAGGTCTCTTTTTTATTTGTCAAGAAATTTAGTAAGAGTCCGTTTGGTTCATGGATTAGAACCATGTGATTAGAACCATTTTTGATTTACGTGTATTTTTTGTGAGAGAAAGTACTGTAGCGAACCACGAATCATGATTCGAATCAGGGAATGAATCCATCTACCAAACATCACCTATAAAACTGAGGAAAATGTTTTAATAGTTTGAGATTTTCTTGAAGGAATATTAATTTAATCTTTTACTCGCCAGTTTCCACACCTTTTTTAACTACACACTTCATATTATTTTTAAGTGAATAAATGTATTTTTTTATACACCTGTGTTATTTTAAAATTAACCTTACCTATTTCAATAGAATTATTAATTTTTAACAATTTTATTTTTCTCTTCACATCTACCATTTATTTTAATTCTATTATTTAAAAAATAAAAGCAAAACGGCATAAGCTAATAAGTAAAAGACAAAATAAATAAATAATTAATCAAAAAAATATAAATAATTCAAAAAGAAAAAAAAACGAAAGCTAGACATCTAAAAAAATAAGAAAAATGAAAAGTTAAACACGGCAACATAATTACATTATTTGCTAAAACATAATAACATTACGTCTATATGTATGATAAAAAATACAAATGGTAAAAAAATAAAAATGCGAAAGCCTTTTAAAAGACATATGAGCATAAGGAGAAAAAGAGAGAGAGAGAGAATGAAACAGAAGAAACACAACCAACCTATCTTAAAAAAATGAAAATAAAAATGAAAGGAAAATTTGGGGAGATTGCAAAATAACAATGGTTTATAATTTAGGGATTTTACATGTGAGGTGAGTGAAGAGAAAAAAAACTTATCATTAGTTTCTTTTTTATAATAAAATGTAATTATGTATTAAGTTTCTTATAATTGTCTCTTTTTGTCATTTTATGTAAGGATTTTTTTTTGTAATAAAAAATGTTAATTTAAATGGGAGTGTGGAGAGAAAAAAGGAACGTGTAAATAGAACTACTCTATTATTTATAGTTTAAGATTTAAGTGTGTGTGTGTGTGTATATATATATATATAAGGATAACTATATAGATGTAGCTTTTAATTTCAATTTTTCTTAATTTATTCCCTTATTTTTTGAATCTAGAAAATATTCTTTAATTTAAGAAATATGTTTGAAATTTATCCCTCACACTTTTTTTTCAAGAAATAAAATGACATAAAAACCCTTAAATAGTTTTGAGAAAAATATATTTTATAACTTCGAAAAGAGCAAAACCATGGAACAAGAAAAGTAGATTCACCACCCATATTATTTTAAACAAAAACATGAAAGATTTTGTAAAATATTTTTGATAAACTATTTAAGGGTATTTTTGTCTTTTTCACTTTGTTTATTTGACAAAAAAATGCGGAATGGATAAAATTGACACATATTTTTAAAATTCAAAATATATCTTTCTAGTTTCTACAATTGGGAAGGGGTATGGGGTGGTTATGCATGGACGGACGTTGAGGGTTGGTGGTGGAGTCAGTACAGACCCGTTTATTTAATCGATTCGAGTTTACAATTCAAGTTTGCTACAGTAAAAAACTCTAAAAAACAGTCACATCTAACTTTTTTATTACAATAAAAGCTATCAAATAAAATCGCATCTCAACTCAAATTAAAAACTCGAATTAGCGAACTAAACGGACCCGTATGTGTCCTCCCCAATATGTTCTTTATGCTTATGTTGGCCAACTTATCACTGATGATTTTGTTAGTGTGGCTCTCGACATTTATCTTGTTTTTAGTTTTTATTTTAATGTAATAAAGGCGATGTCCATTGTGCTTATTATGTGTCTTTTTGTGTTTTTGTGATGTTTATGGTTTTATTGTGTAATAACAAAAGAAGACACTTCACCTTTTTATAGTGGTGACTGCTCTAGTTTGATAAGTTTAATC